CTTATTTTTGTTGTTGTTTTGAAGTCATTCATTCATTTATTCGCCCATTGAGCTGCGTAACTTTCAATTATTGTTTTCTCGAAAATCTGTAAATTCCATTCGAAGAAGAACTTCGCAGCGATGTCGCATTGGAAGCCTAAAATCATTCTAAAGTTTAGTCGGCATATCTGGCGCTGTTGCGGTGAGGGAGTTTTCGGGTTTAGATAGCATTGTTTGCTCTTAGCTTAATTGAATTGGTATTGAATTAGTTTCAGGAGACTTTTGCTTTCCATTTTTTGTTTTGCATACTGGCGATGTAAAGGTAGTGACTTTAGAGATAAGGAGGCAAACATTTAACTGATAAAGAGGTTCTACATTTTTTTTTGCTTTCTTTTCAAGAAAAGCGAGGCTATAAGGAAACCATTTTTGGTATTGGTTGATTCTTCCGACATGCTGGGAGGATGGTATTTTCGAATTGAGCCTAAAGTATTCGTGTAAGGCAATTTCTCGAAAAACCTTATTTTTGTTTGCAGAACCATATTTGGCAATTAACTTTTTTTTCGAAATTGTCTTGCAAAAATACTTTAGACTCAGGGGTGAGCGGTCTAATGTCCATGCTTACTTCTGTTTTTAGGAGAACTAATGGGAACAATTTTCAGTTAGTCAAATACAAATGTTTTCGCGCTTCTTTTATGTATATTTTTTCTTCATAACAACAAACAAAATAATTACAGCTGTGTGTCAAAGTCGAAGTGAGCAGACTGGTCGGGGACAACCATGCGGTTCCATAGTGTAGCGGTTATCACGTCTGCTTTACACGCAGAAGGTCTCCAGTTCGATCCTGGATGGAACCAGTGGGCAACTTTTTTGTTGAAGAAACAGTTCCTGTTAAAAAACAAAATTTTTCGGTAGTGGCGAGTATTTGCTATGCGTTTAGTTTTAACCCTTTGAATACTAAGCGAAGCGATTCCTCCACTCTAAAAAAAAACTGGTGGATTTAAAATTCGTTATTTTATGAAATATATTTTTTGGAACAAAATTTCTTACAAAAATGTAAAATTTTTGAAATGTAAGGAATGCAATAAAAAAAATTGCAATGAAAAAATTGTTCGCATAAGGATAATGTACGTTAGACTGCTTCACCAAAAAAAGTTGCGGTTTTTTATTATATTTAAAGACGTCCACTAAAATATTTCGGAAAAATATTAAGATTTAAGCGAGCTGCGCCCATTTGAAAATACCTCCAAAAATGAATTATGAATAAAAAGAGTTTCTCAAAGAACTTTTTGAAAAAAGTCCACTCAGATTAGGCTTAAAAAATCTGCATAAAAATCTTTAAAAATCTTTTCAAGGAATCGTAATAATACGATTTTGAAGTTATTTTTTTACTTTTTTCAATGATTGATTTACGAAAATCTTAAATACTGGGCCAAAGCTATTCTGATTTAGGCTTATGGGAAAGTCGGTAGAAAGGTGTTTTCCCACTATTTTTGTTTATGTGCAAAAAAAAGTCATTCGTGTCCCAATTTTTTTTTTTTCAAATACCAACACATCTTAGTTGAACTTTGAATGATGTTCGTTCATCCTACCTGTCTCTAATATAAATAAAAAGAGTGAGAAAATACTTTTCCAATGATACCTCACAAGTCTAAACGGAAGAGTTTAGGTTCAGTTATTCAAAATTTCTTATACCAATCTTTGAAAAAAATTAAGAAAACAGCATCAAAAATCTCATTATTACGATTCCGTTAATTTTTTTTTTTTTTATTTTTATGTAAATTTTTTAGGCTTAAACCGTTTTGACATTTGAGGGGATTTTTTCAAAAAACATCTTTAATAAACTATTTTTATTTATAAAATACTCCATTTTTGGCGGTATTTTCAAATCGGTCCAGCTCGCTGAAATCTTAATATTTTTCCGAAATATTTTCGTTGACGTCTTAAAATATAATAGGTTTAATAATTCCAATGGAAAAACAATACCGATTTTTTTTTTTTTGTATGTGGAGTGATGCAGTCTAATGTACTCATCTGACATTTTGGCGCAATTATGAATTAATATGTTATTCAAGATACTTATGTAAATTGGACAGAAATGCAACTCTGATACAATTTTATCAGATGAAAACTTTATTAAAAAAAAAAAAATTTTTAGAAAAAAATACATAGATAAAGAACACTTTCACTCCAAATTAAATTGTGTTAAACTCAAAACATACCACGGTAAATGTCATATGGTTCCATAGTGTAGCGGTTATCACGTCTGCTTTACACGCAGAAGGTCTCCAGTTCGACCCTGGATGGAACCAGTTGAACGAATTTTTTATAAAAGACTTTTTTTATGTTTTCTTTTGCACTTTGTGCAAGAAATTTTTTTTGCCAGAATAATTTAATAATTTAAATATAGGGCTTTATAACAAAGTCTAACCAATTATGTATGCTAAAAAAAACAAAGAAAACAACAAAAAAAACACGNCGAGTACTGTTTGAATTATCATATTTTTTTCTTTCGTAAATTTCTTGTTGCTATGTTCACAATTAAGCGTTTACAAGCAGCCTTGTGGTCTTCAATGAATAACGTATGAGTCAATGAATCATACATATGCACATATATATGTACATACAAACGCTTCCCAACTGCTGCTCTAACAAAAGCACCCTCTAGCCATCTACTAAATGTGTACACGCTATTGCCACGTATGCATGTACGTATGTATGTAGGCACCTACCTACCTACCCAAATGCTTAAGGTGAAATAAGTCAAGCACGTAAACCTACCGGTACGTAAACCCGAGTCAGCTGACACGATCTGTCTTACCAGAGCGCCATGTAAATAAAAACTCAACACCGCAGAATTTTTCTGTAGTTGTAGCCCGTAGCGCAGAAATTTGCGGAATTTAGACTTTTCCGTGACAGCTGATTTCTTCCTTCTATAGATTGTTGCCACGTCGTCAGTTTTGCAGATGGTAAAAAAGTTAAAAGTTCCTTTTCAAATTACGTTTAAAATATTTGAAATTTACTATCGAAAAAGATTTTTTATTATATCACGAAAAATTGTAGTTGAAAAGGTATGTAAGTTTGTGAAAAGGCACTGATGAGTGGCAACACTGTAGTAAGCAACACTGAGTGCTCCAGTAATCGACCAAATTCTGCGTATACAGACAGCGTTTAAGTATAAGTTCTGCGTTGTTCACTAATTTCACCTTTAGCAGCAGGCAAAGTTAGCGTACTCATTCGTACATTTGTTTATATATTTTGTTGTTGTCTTTTTTTTGCTTCTTTGTGTATTAAATTTTCTCTGTCTTCTTGGTCCCTACTTGTTATTTTTTTTTAAGTTCTCAACCGCTTTATATTCGATGGAATAGAAATATTTGCAATTTGGTGTTAGAAAGTTAAGACTATACTTCACAGGATCATTTCTGTAGTCAGTCTTCATTTACTTTCATTGCAAATTGAAAGAAGCTAAACCCGCGATGAGGAGTCATATCGTTTTACCTGGCAGCGTGAGGTTTATGAACGTCGTCTCTAATTTTGTCTTATGGCAGATTTCGGATGATGTTTCTTCGATGATCGCTCGGTTACAACGGGTAAAACGACTTCTGAGTGGTTTACTAAAAAAAATTTAATTGAATAAATTACAAGGTTTTTGAAGTAATGTTGTTATAGAATAATTAAAATGTATTTGTTGTCCGCTGTTGGTCCAGATCAAGAATGATAGAATACAAGATTGCGCCAATGAGAGAGGATTTTTGAGCGTAATTTTTGCGTGACGTCATCTTGGTGCAATTGCGAGAGAGAAATGCCAAAACGCATATAAAAATATGTAAACAATGCAGAAAAATGTGTTCATTTTAATACTACATGGCCCCAATTTTGCAGGAATCAATAAATATACAAAGATTGATTAATTAAGGAACACGTAGCAACAATTTTAGACATGTAGCTCTTTAGATAAGTACGATTTTTAGCACATGAAAAAATGGATGTATTAACAGTGTTTGCAATTTCATGTAGACCAAAAGGAAGGTGTGCAGCAAAGTGAATTTTTGGACTTGCCATTTTAAAAAGCCATGCAGAGTGCATATTTATATTTGTGGACGGAAGCCAACCACCATAAACTCCACAGCTTTTATTTGATGACTTTTGTACCATTTACGAGAGGATGCGGATGCATGAGTGTGGCTTTTTTGGAAGCAAATATTCTATGTCAGTAAAATATAATTTAAGCTGAACTTTTAAATGTATAATAATGTGGGCACTGCTTTGTATTAGGTACGTAACGGCGCGGTAAGACGCCGCTTGAATTAGCGCCTGGCGACCTTATCCACTGGTGCATTACCTCATACCAGCACTAAAAGAATCAGGTACTAACAAAAATAAGTAGGTAGTGAAGTTCATGTATCTATTTACTGTAGAAACTGCTTTTGTATGTATGCAATTGCCAGAAAACTAAACCAGCAACTGTCTACATTCACCATGGAAATTATACCTACTACACTGCTCCCACTTTTTCCACAGGTTTGCGTCCTTAGGAAACGAAAAAAAAACTTATATCGCACGCTTTCCTTTTGTTTTTACTATTACACTTTGCCACGGCACACTTCATTTTGCTTTGTAATGTCTCAATAATTGTTTAAAACCACGCAGAAATATTAACGCACAAATATTAAAATTGTTATTTGGTTTTTTCGTATGCTCACATTCAACAATTGCACCAAGATGACGTCACGCACACAGCTCATTCTGTCAAAATCACAAAGAGCGGATTAGCGGTACCGCGATTGGCGCAATCTCTATTTCTCTCAATCGTGGGTCCAGATTGGGTGCAGGGTGTCCAGATTATTTAAATAAAAAGCGCAATTTCTGAAAAAAAATCGCCAATTTTTTTAAAATAAAATTCATGAAATCTTTTTAACGAGTCTTTTATTTTAAAAATCTTTTTTTAAAACCAATATAATAATACCTTCAGAGGGTAATAAATAAGTAACACAAGTCACTTTATACAGTGCACGGACTTTACCACTTTATTGGTAGATCTACCAACTTTTTAGCTGTTTTTTATTTTCTACCATTTCTACCAACAAAGGCTAAAAATCTACACTATTTTCCCGAAAGAAAGCAAAGAGATTTAAATGAATACAAGTGTATACATATTTTATCATGGAACATACCTAAAATAAACATGAGGAGTTTAACTTTGACCATAACCAACTGTTTATGGAAATATTTTTCGTTTGCAATACGTTTTTTGTGGGAGACTGCCAAAGGAATGGTGTGCAAACTTAAATCATTTCAAAACTAATTTTAATCAAAAAATTTTGAAGTGCAGAGTAATTGTTTGTTTTATTGTAAAACAGGGCCAGAATCAAGACATCCGGAATCGAATCATATTCGAATCGGAATTTTCTTTACAGCTTTTGGTAGCCGATTCGTTCAATGTGTATTTGAGAGAAAACAGCTGTCATTTTGTTTCATTCGATTCGAATCGTGTTTCATTCGATCACGATGCCATGATTTGGGCCCACTTTTATGTACTACATACTTTTTTGTTGAATGTTTTATTATTTTATAACGAAATACAATTTATTCCAAGGCGAATTCATATAATAAGGTGACAGCAAAAGTTCAAAAACAAAAATTCCACTAACAAATTTTACCCATAATGAAAATAAGAATTACAACAAATACATCATTTTGACATTAAAAATCCCCAAGGCGAAAATTCAACTGCTTTGGTAACACCATCTTACCTGAATTAGCTTTCATTATTAAATGAGTAAAAACTATATAATAATGATTCTTTAAAAAAAATCTACCAACTTCTACCAATTTTTGTATGTAAAATCTACCAATATTAATTTTTTCGAAGTCCGTGCACTGCTTATATAATAGTGATGTACAAACAATTTTCTTTAAAATACGCATACTTTTTAAAAACATTTGTTTCAATACATTTTGCAATAGGACTGCGCATTTATTAAATTTATTATAACTCACATTAATTGATTAATCGCACAATCCGCTTTTTAGAACTCGGCGCTAGAAATTAAATAAAAACCTGTAATAAGGCGAGGTCAGCTATTTCCACAATTTTTTTAAAATCACCTGTAGCGTCTGAATTTACATTTCTGTTGTTTGATATTTGAAACGTTTTGCAGCAGAAACTATTAGCTTTCATATAACACTTTATTAGAACTATTGAATTAAGGCTTTCCAAATTCATCCTATTTCGAATCTTAGTTTTTGTTGAATTCATTACGGGAAAAACGCGCTTAACAAAGCATGTGAGTGCGGCAAAGATGATAATATGAATTTTCTTATATTTCCAAATAATTTATTGCCTGTTGCGGTTTTCACTCCGTAAGCAATTGTCCCAAATTCTTCAGAGTCGGATGGAATGGTTCTGAGAAAAGTTATACCATGGGATAGTTAAAAGATTTAAATATTCGGTGTCTGCTGCTTTTCTTTCCTTCAAAGTCAAAAAGTGAATTGGCAGGTCCCTGAAACTCGCCCTCTTGTGATTCACACACTTTTCTGGTGATAAAATCAAAGCCTTTTTAAAAGTATTTAATTGACTAGGTAATCGTTCAAAAGTTCTTCGATTAGAGTGATTAAACATTTTTGACAGTCTTTTAATATGGTTCTTAAGTCAAGTTTATCACGCAGTTCATTAGCCTCTTCTGTAAAATTATCGTGGAAAACTATGTTTTTTTTATAATTGGAAAACATTTATTTGAAGGGGAAAAAACGCCAAAAATCGCCAATGGCGATTTCCTAAATTTTTACGCGCAAATATCCGCAAAAAAATCGCCAAATCTGAACACTCTGGATGTCAGTGGCAAAAATACATCGATGTTTTTCCTCGCATCAAAACTTACATCGTTATTTGTCGAAGCATCGGAGGGCGTACATCGATGCATCGATATGCATAGGGTTTTCCTCCACTATGGAAATAAAACATTAAGAACCTTTTTGGGTATTTAGTTTTATAGCTCATAAAATTTTACTATAACAAAGCGCAAGTTAGCCAAAGAAAACATATTAAAAATTAAAGCAATCGAAACCAGCACTTTATTATACTCCCATTTTATGAGCTTAGTTTTATAGTCTTCCTCTCTATGAACTTCAGACAAAGCGATGTTTGGCCGTTCGATGTACTTGAGATGTCAGTTTAGAGAAAACATCGAAGCAAAACATCGATATTTTCGAAGCATCGATGTTTTTTCGGCATCCCTATATAAAACGCAAAAAAAAAGATTATTTAGAGCCTGGTGCCTTTTTAGTGCTTTTTTCTGAACTAAAATTCCTCCGAGATAGTTAAAACTTGAAATAATTTAAAACAGCACTGAATTTACAAGAAAAAACACGGTTTTTGGCGATATTTGAGGTTATGTACTGAAAACATAAAATTTTTTTGCTCATTTCTACTTATTTAAGGCATCATTTTCGTTTGTTGCGATTCGTTTATTTTTTCTTTGTTAAATACAAACTGTTAGGAAAAAGGCATACTTTGATTTTATTGTCAGGCAGTCTTCTCAAATAACAAATATTGGGAGCTTCAAAAATATTTTTAAACCAATTTTTATTGTCCAGCGGAAAAAGTTTCAAAGTTTTTGAGGCATTTTGCCATTTAAGCAAATATTCCACGAGAAAATTAGAAATCGTCTTAAAACACCACTTAAAAAAAACAAAACAAATTTCTTGAGCGGCGTAACAAAACTAATATGTAATAAACAATCTCGCAACAATGGAGCAACAAGTGTTATGATTAAATTTATCAAAATATGTACATATATATCTTTTTTAAGTGCAGTTTTATGTTTTCTAAACACTATTGAAAAATTGTGGAATAAATAATATATATTTTTGTATCAAGAGAATTAAAAAAAAAACTTCTGGCAGCGGTGGGATTCGAACCCACGCCCCCGAAGAGACTGGTGCCTTAAACCAGCGCCTTAGACCGCTCGGCCACGCTACCTATGCTAGGCGCGGTGACAAATGCACCACATAAGCGCAAGGCACTATTGTGCTAGTGTGTGAGTTTGACGTTGATAAGGTTTATCAAAAAAACAGATTGGCAAACCGATTAACTCATCAATATGGTTAAAAGTGTAAATAGACATGTGTCTATTCATGGAAAACAAACGTTTTATTTTGAACCGACTTCCAAAAAGGAGGAGGCTATCATAGCAGTTCGTCGGATTTTTTATTTTATTTTTTTTTATTTTTTATTTTTTTTTTATGTCTGTTACCACATATGTAACTTTGGACCACGTCAACCGATTTCGATAATTCTTTTTGCATCGGAAAGGTAGTGTCTCAGAGGTAATTTTTTCTTGCTTAACTACATTATACATATGACAAAGTTCTGCGTTAATTGTGTTAAAATTCATATATGCATGACTTTCCGTTTAAAAGCACTAATTTTAATAACTAATTTGCAAGTTTTATATGCTTACTAAGGTTTCAAAAATCCACTCATTTTAATAAAATAGTAGTAGCTGACAGCGGTGGGATTCGAACCCACGCCCTTTCGGACTGGTGCCTAAAACCAGCGCCTTAGACCGCTCGGCCACGCTGCCCATGTCCAAGTTGCGATATTAAATAAAAAATTGAAAAAATATAATTATCGCTTTTACTTAGCTTAGAACTTAGCAATGAGTAAGAATTTACTAGAAAGTTTAGAAAAAATTTAAACTTACATATCTACATTCACTTATACACATGTGAAAAATACTTCAGATTAGAAGGTGTACGGCGAACTTTTTTCTGGGACGATTTAATGTACATACCTTGCAGGGAGTGACGCTAGCTTATACTTGAATTTAGTCTGTTTACGTGAACACTAGTGCAAAGTGCTAGTGGTTCGAAAAAAGCTAACAACTTTTGTGCGGCGATGGCCACAAAAAAGTCAGACCGGGATACCTCTGCATTACATTCCAACTAACTTGTAACTAACTACTTTTGGACATAAAATATCAATAAAAAACATCACGTATTTTTTAAATTCTTTAAATTTTTATTTATTTGATTTACATTCAACACTTCCCTGCAGTGAAAAATTATCAATTGTTAAAACTAACCAACTTATAGTTAGCTTTTTGGCGAGATTTCGATTAATACCTCACTTTAAATTAGCTATGACAAAACCAACTTAAAGTGAATTGTAAAGTCGTGCAGGAGTCATGCAGACGCAATCGAGAGTTGGTTTTCTTTACAAGTTTCTATTAAATATCCTCATACAAAAATTACTTTCAATACACTTTTTTCTGAACTTCGCAGATTCTTTTTCATATTCAGGACAAATAAAAGGAAGATCGAAAAGTAGTTAGTTACAAGTTAGTTGACATGTAATGCAGAGGTATCCAGGTCTGACTTTTTTGCGGCCATCGCCCCACAAAAGTAGTTAGCTTTTTTCGAACAAAATACACAGTTAATAGTTAGCACTAGTGTTCGCGTAAACAGACTAAAGTTAGGTATAAGCTAACGTCACTCCCTGCAGGGTTTTGATTTGTTTACATATTCTGCAGTGGGTGGTGCTATAACCGAATTTCATTCCATCAGACATAACATCAAAGCGATGACATAAAATTTGGAGCTTCATTTTATTTTGTCCTGAATTCGAAAAAGTATTTGTGAAGTGCAGAAAAAATGTATTCAAAGTAGTTTTTGTATGAGAATTTTTAAATAGGAACTTGCTAAGAACACAAAATCCCGTCTGCGTCTGCATGCCTCCTGCACGACTTTAGAACTCACTTTAATTTGGTTTTTTCATAGTTAATTAAAAGCGAGGTATCTATTGAAATCCCGCCAAAAAGCTAACTACAAATTGTTTATTTTTAACAATTCACAATTTTTCGCTACAGGAATGTTTTAACATAAACGAAGTGAAGCTAAAAGGCCGCTAGTCCTTCGGATACAAGTGAATGCCCTTAACTGGTTTTGGTTAGTTCATTGGAAAATAGTTATTAAAAAAAAATTAAAAAACGATAAAAAAAAAAAAAAATCCGAAAAGTTTTGAAAAATCCCTGAAAAATTCCGGAAAGTACCTAGAACATGAATAATCTCAAGTAACGTCGAAAATTCTGAATAGCCCCGAAACAATTTCGAGAAGTTGTGTGTACATAAATGTATGTATATTTAGAAAAATTCCAAAAAAGATAAATCCAAAAAAAATGACGCAAAAATCAAGAAAATTTCCAGGACAGTCCCGAAAGATCGCAAGCGTGCGGGAACGATCGCGGAAAGTAGAACCTGAGGAATCTTAAAAACGTCGAAAATCCTGAAGAGTATCGAAAATATATCGAGGAGTTACTGCTCTTACCTGGTTCGGCGAAACATATCCACGTTTAATAATATGGAGATTTGAATCAAAATTTACGTTTTTGGAGGTTTAGTCTAAGAATTAATAAGCTTGATAAGGAAAATATGTTGAGCCTAATCGATTACTAAACCTCCTAAAAATTACGAGGAGTGGCGAAGATACTTATCTTTCCATCTGTCTTTTCGTATAACATTTGTATGAATTGATCAAACTTTGATTGAGTTTTCCCAAAAAATTTAAATTTTGAAATAATTCTGTATATTATTAAACGTCCGACATGTAAAAAAAAATCCGAAAAAAACTCCAAAAAATAAAAAATGCCCAGAAAATTCCCGGAAAATCACCAATGTTTTGGAAATGTTCCGAAAAGTAAAACATGCAGGAACCTGAATAATCCTGAAAAGTCTAAAAAAAAAATTCCAAGAAGATTTTGATAAGTCTCGAAAACCCCTAAAAATTACGACTATTTTTCAGTGTCTAAAAAAAACCAATAATGTTCTGTACTTCTTGTTCAAAATAATAAAAATCCATTTTTTTTAACCCAATTCTTCAATGAGAGAGGGCGAGTACTATACTCGGAACCTATAAAAAACGGCACAACAATTTTATTACTATTTCTCTAACTCTTATTTAATTAATTAATTGTTTGAATTAAATAATAAAAAACAAACTTAAATATTTCTCCCCTTTTCAAGTTTTTGCAACTTTATACAATACATATGTATATGTATATACATACACGACACAACTAAAATATATAAAAATCTAACTGATGCAAATTTGGTTTGCTCTGCAACATTTCATCAGCCTCAAGAATGCATACAGAACACATTAAAAACTTTTTAGTTCAAGCGATGGCGCAGGAAAGAAACTTTTACTGAATGCGTCGATATGAGTTTTCTTTCGCTACTTCACATTAGTTGGGCAGAAAAATAAAATTAAAATCGCCTGCAAGGAAATATTTCAATTTTTTAAATAAAATTGTTGAAGTAAATATGTAAGTATGTACATATATGCGAAACATATCGGTTTTTAACTGCAAAGCTGCATGCAGTCTCCACATATGAAAATGCATACACATATATGTAAATATTTATGTAACAATTCCTTTCTAGGTAGCTGCTGGATTCACTATGATTACCTAAATCATGCAGCATAACTACTTTGGCAACCGTCAAGGCTATTCAAAACTTTTTTATTCAACCAAGTCACTATCGGGCGGAAATTTATTTATTTTTAATATATATATGTATGTATGTCTATGTACATAATCAAACACGGGCGGGCGGGCGGTCGGCCTTTTCTTAGCTAGTAAATGTAGAAAGTTTTTTATGAATAAATCGTTTGAATGGCTAAAAATTTAAACTCAATTTGCAAATTGAAAACTTTTGTGGGCAAAAATGGCGTGTAATGCTGATTTGTTTACTTGTGCATGTTTAATCATATACAGAATTATTTCAATTTTATTTCAGTTGTGGGAAGGTTAGTTATCTGTTAGAATTAACCTATTCTCCTTGGTATGAAGTAATCTCCAAAAACGTAAATTATGATCTGTCTACATGTACATATCGAGGGCTTATATTCAATACACTCTATCTGCAAAAACTCAATTTTTCAGGAGAGCAAAAAAACTGTTTTGGCAGCTGTTTTTAAAAGTGTTAATAATTTTAAGTACACACGCATGTCTTAAATATTCACGCAATATACTAAAACTAGTTTTTTACTTTTAATTCATTTAATTTTAGTTTAAAGATCAGATAGAGGTTATTGCAATTCGAATTATAACTATTTATATAGAAAAATTTGCTGATAGAGGGTTTTGCAGAATAATGAAAATGTCAGTTCTTTAGACGTAAATACTATGTTAAACTAAGATTTTAATGCTAATTTTTTCACATATGCAGAAAATACAAATAAATACATACATCCAACCCTCTCCTTGTCTAACACCCCTCCCTTATACTGATACATTGAAAATATTTGGAATGATTTTTTACAATAAACCTACTTTTAAGCAGAACTGTCATTATGTAAAAGTTGACTTTGGGCTCGTAATTTATGGACACTGCGCAAAAAAACATCTTAAATTGCTAGAAACACCTTACTATGTAGCAGAGGAGAAAAAGCATCCGTGCGCCTCTATAAACGAAGGAAATTTCCTCATCTGAACGGACAGTAAACCAGCCAGCACACAAAAACACATTAAAC